GTACCAGTCAGAACCACAGCAGTACCAGTCAGAACCACACCAGTACCAGTCAGAACCACAGCAGTACCAGTCAGAATCACACCAGTACCAGTCAGAACCACACCAGTACCAGTCAGAATCACACCAGTACCAGTCAGAACCACACCAGTACCAGTCAGAATCACACCAGTACCAGTCAGAACCCATATTTTGGATCTCATACAGACTTTTTCATTAAGCACTGATGAGTTTGGGTTGAACCGGGTCTTCAGTGATTCTGAACCCTCCTACAGTTTGACCCATTTCATCACTGGAACATTTCTGAGTTCATTCGCTCATTAAAAGCAGATTTGTTTTGGTACCGCTCTGAGGTGCTGGTGGCCCGCGGGCCCTGCTGACTTAGATTTGAATCCAGAACCTCTCAGGGGTTAAGGTTCACCTATTTGTCCCCCAGAACATCTGATCGGGTCTCATCTAAGATTCAGCTGCAGCTTTCTGCATCCAATATGAGCCGGGCCAGGCCGGGCCGAGCAGTGCCGCGCAGGCCGGGCCAGGCCGCGCCGGGCCGGGCCGCTCCGCTCTCTGTGAACAGATGAATTAAACATCAGGCACTGCAGCGGGCAGCCCCAGCCCCCCTCATGTCTCATATTTACAGTATTCTGCAGGTTTACTAAATCAGAACCCAGATGGTTCTGGGTCAAGTGGGTTTAATGATCAGAACCTTTCAGAACCAACATCATAGCAGCTGCTGTTTTCAGATGGACACCTGAGGGACACCGGGCCCTGGACCTGGCTGGTGGTTCTGGTTTCATGTTTGGTTCTTCAGAAAACTTAGAGTCTCCTTTGGTTCTGCAGGGCTACAGGGTGGTCCGGTTCCCTCCTGCAGAGCGGGCCCAAACACAGAACTTTGATGTTCTGCTGCCATCTTTGATCCTGACGATACTGGTGAGCCACGCCCACTTGTAGCCACGCCCCTTGCAGAGAATGACTCAGCATTATTTCTACAGTAGAAACTGACGTGAGCAGGAGGAAAAGTTTGAAACATGAAGTTTGTTCGTCGTCAGGAGGATAAGTGAGATTATTTTTTACTTTCCTTCAAAAGAAAAAGACTTTCTGAATAAAAGAGCAGAAAACAAGCAGGAGGAAGTGAAAGTGAGCAGAAAATGAGCGTGTAATGGAGATGTGAGATTATCTGCAGGAACAACCAGAGGAACACGCTGTCCTCAAACAGGAAGACGGCGCACGGCGAGGACATGATGGCGTGATGGACTCTGAGATGGAGGGTGATGAAGGTAACTTCCTGTTGTGTGAGAGGAAGAGGAGGGGGCTCACATATCCCAGACTCAGGACAGCCTGCAGCCTACATTACCCATAATGCACCTCAGCCAGGAAGAGCTTCCTGACTGTCTTCACCCTGTAGCTTCAGGAGAACGTTCAGGAACCATCAGTGAAGCTGTGTGAGACCACCCTGCTCTGTGTTTATAAATGTAAAGAAACTGTCCGGTCCGGTCCGGTCCGGTCTGGTCCGGTCTGGTCCAGTCCGGTCCGGAGACAGAACACATTTCTCCATGAAACCAGCTGATCCTGTCTGCAGGACTGATGGACGTCTCTCAGGAGGATTCCTCCTCCTCCTCCTGCAGGATCATCCTGAGCTCAGAGAGTTCCTCAAATCTGATTCTTCAGGCTCAGAGACAGAGAACAGGTGAGTTTTACCTGAGCTCTTTGGATCAGAACCACACCTGCAGGACTTTCAGCCATTGCAGGAGAAAAACAGCTCTGAACCCAGAAGAGAACAGAACTCCTGCAGAACTGTTTGGACTCAACATGAAGACAGATTAAGTTGGATCTCAGATTATTTGGACTCAGACATGAAGGCAGATTAAGTTGGATCTCAGATTATTTGGACTCAGACATGAAGGCAGATTAAGTTTAATCTCAGAAGGCAGGATTAATTTCTTGTGGTCAGTCTGGTTTTCTGTGTGAAGACCTGACAGCTGACTCCTGCTCACACGTGGATCTGGGACTTTCAGGAGGTCCTCAGCAGGTTTCTGATAGTTTTATCTCAGCTGGTTAATCCAGGCAGCTGCAGGCTGATTCCAGATAATTGGATCCACATAATCTCTGGATTTATTCCTGATCTAATTATCACTAATGTAATAAAGTCATTGCTGATATATTAGCAGGAATTAGAGGCACTGAATGAGGGCAGGTTAGTGGGCAGATGTTCTGGTCCCACAACAGGTGAGGTCCTGATGTGTGAAACAGGAAGTCACCTGATAAAACCACAATCTGGTGCCTGAACTGAAACAAACACAACAAGTGGTCTACAGGAGGACTGTCCTCAGATTACAGGAGGACTGTCCTCAGATTACAGGAGGACTGTCCTCAGATTATAGGAGGACTGTCCTCAGATTACAGGAGGACTGTCCTCAGACTATAGGAGGACTGTCCTCAGACTATAGGAGGACTGTCCTCAGATTATAGGAGGACTGTCGTCAGATTATAGGAGGACTGTCCTCAGACTACAGGAGGACTGTCCTCAGATTACAGGAGGACTGTCCTCAGATTATAGGAGGACTGTCCTCAGACTATAGGAGGACTGTCCTCAGATTATAGGAGGACTGCCCTCAGACTATAGGAGGACTGCCCTCAGATTACAGGAGGACTGTCCTCAGATTATAGGAGGACTGTCCTCAGACTAT